TAAACTCTGAAAGTTTCACATTGATATCTTTTACCGTTTTTGAGTTTAATCGTGGACAAAAAGTCATTTTAAAATCAGGAAAATGGTCCAAAACTTGGCACCAGAGAGGAATTTCCAAAAACTGTCTTGGAACTTTCAAGAGTAACTTACAACACATCTTTCCTGAAAATTTCATGTAATTCTATCCAGTAGTTGTCGAGAAATCGTGTCAGAAAAATAATAATAATAATAATAATAAGAAACAGAGCAATAACTATAAGGTCTTCCGTGAAGACGGAAGACCTTAATAAGAAACAATAGAATCACTATAAGGTCTTCCGTGAAGACGGAAGACCTTAACTAGATACGATCTCGTTGCGAGCAACGAGAGGTCTTCCGTCCGATTGACGTTCCTTACATATATTACAGTATGGATGTATAGTTATATAATGCATAGATACGGCGATTTCATCCCCCTGCCCCTCCCCCGATCTTCTCTCTTACTTTGTGATCTGTATTTGATATACCATCTGCGTCACGTATACCAAATTGATTAATGGCATTTAAGGGCATTAAATTCAAGAGAACTTTTTTTCTTAGCTGCTATGAATTACAGAAGATCGAGTCTTGTAAATGTTATTAACTCCCAACTGAATATTAAAATTCAAACAAATCCACTTTAGTGAAAGGTATACAAAAATGCTTAATTATTTGAATGTACATGTATTTACACTATTGAAAATCCCAGCAGTAATAGATTTTCTCAAGTTCTTTACGCGATTTAGTACATGTATGCATAAAGAGATAAATAGATGTGAATAAATTGTATAGAAAGAAGAAGTGGATGCACCTGTTTGTTCGAATTTGTTAAAGCCAAATAGTTAAAAAAGAAAAGCGGAAAAAAATTGCCAAGTCACTTTTACTGGCAAGATTGGAAACATGTGCGCTTATGTTAATTCAATCTGTATGAGTGGATCGAGAGGGGGGTGGGTGATCTGGACCCCCGCCCCCTTTGGAATTTGCAGAGTTATGAAATGTATGCATTTAACCAAATTATGAATTATAAATCATTGCTTTAGGGTATAAAACGGGTAGATATGAAAGGAAACTTAATAAATGTGTTAAAAATCAAATTCTCCCCAAGAATGAGAGAGTCTGTCGTTACTTCAACTGAAGTTCGACTGAGGATGAATTGCATTTTTTTTTTGCTAGAATGTTTGATTTAAAATGATTCATTTCTATAGAGGATAGTTTTTAAATGAAATAATAAACCAGGCACGTAGCAACAGGTGGGGGGGGGGGGGGGGCTCCACCCTCCTTTTTTCCTAACATTTCTTTTACTATTGAAACATTGAAAAGCTGGTTGTCTCCCCCTCCTCCCAAATTTCTGAGACAGTAAAGTGGTTCATTATCTAATGCAATTGTTTGTTTTGTCCTTTTTTTAAATATAAGTGTGATGATTTTTGACATTGTCCATCTGCATGCTCCAATTTCATTCTAAACTATACTTAAACCAAACAAACATGACTTTCCTACCGCCCCACCCTCCAAAACACGCATCCTCCTCGAAAACGCAGATCTATGTGAAAATGTAAATGAAATTAATATATAATATTGGAATGTAGCGTCGACTTTATACGAAATGTTTGATCGGAATATATTTCGTACGAGTTGTTTATTAATGTAAAACGACTCACGGTAAATCTAGTCCTTATGAATTCAACAAGTTTCAGAAATTTTTATTTGTGCTTTTAATGCATTTTACAATATTATGTATTTGACATGTATATTAATATTAATTCTAAAAGTCATTAAACACGTCTGAAATGTGAAATCTTTAAGTATATTAAATCTCAAATGTCAGTTTAATTTCGGTTGAACTAGATTTACCGCCTGCCTCTCAAAAGCTGACGTCATCATTGTTTACTCCAGTGAAGAACGTAGACGCTGCAGCTGTTGCAGAAGCACAGTATTTTCCAGAATCTTTTCTACAACGTTTGTTGGTGAAGTCAAAATATTTGAAGTTTGTTCAAGATAGATTGTTTTGTATAAATATTATTTGAAAGTGTAAGTATTCGAATTGATATTTTTACGTAAAGCACAATTTCTCAGAGGAAATTGGCAACATGCCAACAGGCCGTAAAGTATATAAACAGACATCAAGTGGAAACAAGTCGAAATTTGAAGTGAATTTAACTTTTAAAATAATTTTTATTATTCAAACAAAATATTCGTCACATGTATGTATTTGAATATTATCTTAATATGGATTATTTAATAATAATAATAAAAAAAGTATTGGACCTAGCCTTACAATGAAACTAAAGATGTTAACATGGTTAAAAATTAAAATTTCGACTTGATACCTAAGTCTATTCTCAATTTATGGCCTTGGGGCTCCAGAATGTATAAACTGTTCCAGTACATTTAGCCACGTAGCTTGTTTTACCTATCGTAGCCCAATGCAACTTTCACAAATGTGCTTTTATTAAAAATTAAACACCAAAAGTATATAGGTAGCCTATATATGACTGTCAATAATAAGGAATTTAAAAAAAAGAAAGAACATAGGCCTAATCTTTGAAGTAAATTCATGATGTATTTCCTGGGGATGTGCGATTTTATCGGTTACGGTATACTGCAGGTATATCACAATTATTTGTTGTGTGATACAGAGACCTACATATTGGTTTTTAGGTACATACCAGGTATTATAAAGTCCAAAAATTATTAATATATTTGTTCAATCTTTCAAATTACAATTACAGAAAGTATATAAAAAAAATGGTTTAAAAAGTGAAAAGAATAGCATCTTACCATCCAAACATAACTGATTTTCTATACATATAATAATTTCAAGAAAGTAAAATTTTGTTTTTCTAGCATATTATATATTTAGCAAAATAATGACTTTGTAAAAACTGCTTTTAAAAATATCATGATATTGTGGGAAAAAAATCGTAATATATCACGAAAAAATTTATTTTAGGTGCTACCCATCCTTAGTATTTCTGTTGTTTAATGTATACACATTGACTTTGTGTGAGGTAATGCATTGACAAGTATTGCAATTGTTACTTCGTAGTTCACAATTTGCTGAATTACAGAGTATAACCAATCATGAAATTTTTGAGAAAGCTAATAACCTTTGCTATGTTGCCATTCGGGGGCATCAGTGTTTCACAAACATATCTTGTTATGTATTGTTTCAGATCAGTTCAAAATTGAGTAATACCACTGCATCAAACTGATTTTCTTCATATTCTGAAAGAATCAAATGTTCAGCATAATTTAGGAGTTGGTTAGATATAGTAGGTAAAAAATGGTTCTTTTAAAGTAATTCAAGCTACGTAGCTAAATTTAGTAATTGTACTAGACTGATTCAGTGTATACATGTACAGTGGACCTTCAGATATCCGGACGCCAGATATCCGGATGCTTCAGTATCCGGACGACTTTTCAGCGGAACAGAAACTTTTTAATGTTACATTGTCTTGTTTAATTGGTAATTCAGATATCCAGATATTTCACATATCCGGACAAATTGACAAGGAACCAAAGGTGAAAGCGTCCGGATAAATGAGGCTCCACTGTAATGAATAAAGGCCTGATACTAAGTAGGCCTATAGTTTTTTTTTTTTTTAATAATTTGAATAAAGCTTTGTTTGAATTAATGCTGTGTTGTGTTTGTGTTATTTCTATATTGCTTATGAACACAGAGAATGTATTTTTTTTTATAAAAGTGGTAAATACATCTACTTGTAAATGATTCTGTATTTTTAGCTCTTCTGATCACGCAATGTACATTGTCCATCCTTCAGTTAACTTTTCACATTTTCAACTTCTTCTCAAGAACCACTAGGTCAATTTTAACCAAACTTGGTACAAAGCAATCTTGGATGAAGGGAAATTTAAATATTGATAATATAGGGCCAGGCCCTATTCCAAGGGGAGATAATCAAGAAAATACAAAGACAGGGTGGGGTTATTACAAAATCTTCTTCTAAAGAACCACTGGGCCAGAAAAGCTGAAACTTGTGTGGAAGCATCCTGGGGTAGTGTAGATTCTAAATTATAAAAATCATGACCCCCAGGGGTATGGTGGGGCTGCAATAGAGAATACAAGTTTTACATAAAAATATATAGGATATATTAACAAACAAAAAAATTTCACCTCAAGAACCAGTGGGCAAGGAATGCTGAAACTTATATGGAAACATCCTTGGGTATTGTCAATTTTAAATAGTTAAAATCATGACCCCGGGGGGTAGGGCAAGGTCACTATAAGGGAGTCCAAGTTTTACATAGAATTTATATAGCAACAACCTTTAAACAATTTTTTAAAATCCTCTTCTCAAGAACCAGTGGACCACTAAATAAAAGTAGAAACTTATGTGGAAGCATCCTGGGGTAGTGCAGATTTTAAATTGTAAAAATCATGACCCGCTGGGGTAGGTTGGGGCCACAATAGGGAATTCAAGTTTTACATGGAAATATATAGGAACAATCTTTAAAAATCTTCTTCTCAGGAACTAGTGGGCCAGGCTTGGATTTCTCGAAAAAATCTTAAGTTAAATCTCAGACTTAAGTCTGAGTTTTTACTCAAATTTCTGAGAAAAATCTCAAATTTGAGTAAACTCAAAAAATTGCATTTCTCGAAAAAACTTAAGTAATTTTTCTAACTCAAACTCAGAATAAACTTAAGTTACCTTCTTAGTAGACTTAAGTCCTTTAAAAAAATCTCAAATATGCCTGTAAAAAACAGAAGACAGCGTCGTCGTCGCCGACATCGTCAGCGTGTAGCTCACAACCGTTTGGTGGACAGGGAAAATCCCTTAGAAGTCATGACAGAAGCTGAGGTTTTTCAGAGATTTCGATTCAGGCCGGCATCTGTGTTATATATCGTAAATCTCCTTGTTCCATTCCTACAGCGTCAGACCCTAAGATCCTGTGCTCTTACCCCTGTACTTCAAGTTCTCTTCACGCTTAGATTTTTAGCTACCGGCGGCTTCTACTCTTTCGTAGCCGATACATTTTCCACAGTTTCTCCACCCTCCGTCTGCCGGGCAGTGAAAAACGTTTGCCAGGGATTGTGCCAGATATCCAGACGATTCATCCAAATGCCCACTGGTAATCAGGCAGACGAAGTGAAAGGCAAATTCCATTCAATAGCAGGTAACCTACTTTCATTTTGCAACAAGGGGAAGCAAATCTTATTTCATGAGTTAAATTGTACATATGAATTTCGTATCTAGGCCTAACTAGAAGCAATGCTTAGTTTTTCAAGTAGGCATTTTTTCTAAATAAATGTTAAATTTCTTTAGAAAAACTTGTAACTTTAAAAGAAGAGTTACTTTTATTATTGAAAAATTTAATATCGTATGAAACACAGTTTTTAAAAAATTAAATTTTTAAACTATAACCCCACCCCCCCCCCAACACACACACACTCCATCTCAAAAAAATTAAGATACATGTACATGTATTTACTGGATTTGAATACTAGTACATGTAGATAGTAAATACTCTTTCCTGTTGCTAGTGTCCAATCCTGATTTTTTTTTCTCGCAGTTGCCTTTCTAACGGTCCCCTTTTTCAAGTTTATACTATACCAAATTAAAATTTTAAATCATTTATGGTTCATAAATTATGCCTACACATTGAATCAATTCAGAAAATGAATTTGCAGGTTTTCCTAACGTACTTGGTTGCGTGGATGGCACATTTATTAAGATTCAAGCTCCCTCCCAGAATGAGTCAGATTTCGTCAACAGGAAAGGGTATCATTCTTTAAATGTACAGGTAAAATGTGTGTTTATTTTATAAGAGAAAGAACTTGCTTTTAAAAAAACTGAAAGAGAAAATTCTGAAACAAAGCAGAAGGAAAGAGAACGTACATTGAAAAGTATGAATAAGGCAAGGCAAAGTACAGGATTCTGTAATAAAGAAAGAGAAGCAAAACAAAAGAAAAGAGATAATGTACAGCAGCTTGAGAAAGAACGGCTATTTAAACAAGAAAGTAGAAAAAATAACAGAGAAAAAGAAAGAGAGAGTGAAAGAGTATCTAAAGCTAAAAGGAGGCTTGATGCAGAATTCACAGACCATGAAAACAATTTATTAAAGAAAAGGTGTCATGGTCATTCGTTGGAAGATTGTATAGAGAAATTTCATGAAGAAGTGAAAATTGGTCCAATTTATGTGTGTACATGTTGTCATCAGACTTGGTTTCGGAAAAGTGTTGTGAAGCTAAATACAACTAATCTTAGTGTTAGTAGTAAAAGTATTTGTACTGGATTTACATCAGTAGATGGCATAGAATGGCTATGTTTAACTTGCTGTTCAGCTTTGAAAGATGAGAAAATTCCAAAACTTTCAGTTAGAAATGGAATGAAATGGCCTGACCAACCAGATGTTTTGAAATTACATC